TATATCGTCTATACACCAATGAGACAGAGTTATTCGATGGGTGAAACCCTATACAACTTTCATATACCAATGAGACAGATATTCAACGGGTATATACCCTCTACAACGTTCATACACCAACGAAAAAGAGTTATTCGATGGATATATACCCTCTACAACGTTTATACACCAACGAAAAAGAGCTATTCGATGGATATATACCCTCTACAACGTTTATACACCAACGAAAAAGTGCTATTCGATGGATATATACCCTCTACAACGTTCATACACCAACGAAAAAGAGTTATTCGATGGATATAAAACCTATACAACGTTCATACACCAATGATTCACGGTTAGTCAACGGGTATAAACCCTATGCAACGGTCATACACCAATGATACACAGTTATTCGATGGGTATAAACCCTATACAACGTTCATATACCAATGAGACACAGTTTTTAATGGGTACAAACCCTATACAACGTTTATACACCAATGAGACAGAGTTATTCGATGGGTATTAACCCTATATAACGTTCATGCACCAATGAGACAAAGTTATTCGATGGGTATAAACCCTATACAACGTTCATACACCAATGATTCACTGTTATTCAGCGAGTATAAACCCTATGCAACGGTCATACACCAATGATACACAGTTATTCGATGGGTATAAACCCTATACAACGTTTATACACCAATGAGACAGAGATATTCGATGGGTATAAACCCTATATAACGTTCATACACCAATGAAACACAGTTATGTAATGGGTATATACCCTATAAAACGTTCATACACCAATGAGACACAGTTATATAATGGGTATAAACCCTATACAACGTTCATACACCAATAAGACACAGTTATATAATGGGTATATACCCTATACAACGTTCATACACCAATGATACACAGTTAATCAGTTGGTATAAACCCTATACAACGTGCATTTACCAATGAGACACAGTTATGTAATGGGTATATACCCTATACAAGGTTCATACACCAATGAAACAGAGATATTTGATGGCTATAGACCCTATACAACGTTTATACACCAATGAGACAGAGTAATTCGATGGGTATAAACCCTATATCGTCTATACACCAATGAGACAGAGTTATTCGATGGGTGAAACCCTATACAACTTTCATATACCAATGAGACAGATATTCAACGGGTATATACCCTCTACAACGTTCATACACCAACGAAAAAGAGTTATTCGATGGATATATACCCTCTACAACGTTTATACACCAACGAAAAAGAGCTATTCGATGGATATATACCCTCTACAACGTTTATACACCAACGAAAAAGTGCTATTCGATGGATATATACCCTCTACAACGTTCATACACCAACGAAAAAGAGTTATTCGATGGATATAAAACCTATACAACGTTCATACACCAATGATTCACGGTTAGTCAACGGGTATAAACCCTATGCAACGGTCATACACCAATGATACACAGTTATTCGATGGGTATAAACCCTATACAACGTTCATATACCAATGAGACACAGTTTTTAATGGGTACAAACCCTATACAACGTTTATACACCAATGAGACAGAGATATTCGATGGGTATAAACCCTATATAACGTTCATACAACAATGAGACAGAGTTATTCGATGGGTATTTACCCTATATAACGTTCATACAACAATGAGACAGAGTTATTCGATGGGTATAAACCCTATATAACGTTCATACAACAATGAGACAGAGTTATTCAATGGTTATAAACCCTAAACAACGTTCCTACACCAATGAGACAGAGTTATTCGATGGGTATATACCCTATATAACGTTCCTATACCAATGAGACAGAGTTATTCGATGGGTATTAACCCTATAGAATGTTCATATACCAATGACACAAAGTTATCCAATAGGTATAAACCCTATACAACGGTCAAACACCAATGATACACAGTTATTCGATGTGTATAAACCATATACAACGTTCATATACCAATGAGACACAATTTTAATGGGTATATATCCTAAACAACGTTCATACACAAATGAGACAGAGATATTCGATGGGTAATAAACCCTATATAGCGTTCATACACCAATTAGACATAGTATTCGATGGGTATAAAGAACTATAAACCCTATACAACGGTCATACACCAATGATACACAGTTATTCAGTTGGTATAAACCCTTTACAACGTGCATATACCAATGAGACACAGTTATGTAATGCCAATGAGACACAGTTATATATTAGAGTATAAACCCTATTTAACGTTCATATACCAACGAGATAGTTATTCAACGGGTATATACCCTATACAACGTTTATACACCAACGAAAAATAGTTATTCGATGGCTATATACCCTATATGACGTTCATACACCAATGAGACAGAGTTATTCGATGGGTATATACCCTATACAACGTTCATACACCAATGAGACAGAGTTATTCGATGGATATATACCCTTTATGACGTTCATACACCAATGAGACAAAGTAATTCGATGGGAATAAACCATATACAACGGTCATACAGCAATGATACACAGTTATTCAGTTGGTATAACCCCTATACAACGTGCATATACCAATGAGACCCAGTTATATAGTGGGTATATACCCTATACAACGTTCATTCACTAATGAGACAGAGTTATTCGATGGGTATAAACCCTAAACAACGTTTATACATCAATGAGACAAGAGTTATTCGATGGGTATATACCCTATACAACGTTTATATACCAATGAGACAGAGTTATTCGATGGGTATAAACCCTATTTAACGTTCATATACCAGTGAGACAGAGTTATTCAACGGGTATAAACCCTATACAACGTTCACACACCAATGAGAAAGAGTTACTAGTATTCGATGGGTATATACCCTATATGACGTTCATACACCAATGAGACAAAGTTATTCGATTGGAATAAACCCTATTAAACGATCAAACACCAATGATACACAGTTCTTCAGTTGGTAAACCCTATAGAACGGGCATATACCAATGAGACACAGTTATGTTGTGGATATATACCCTATACAACGTTCAAACACCAGTGAGAAAGAGTTATTTGATGGGTATATACCCTATATGACGTTCATACACCAATGAGACAAAGTTTTTCGATGGGTATAAACCCTATACAACGTTCATACACCAATGAGACAGAGTTATTCGATGGGTATAAACCCTATACAACGTTTATACACCAAGGAGATAAATTTTTCGATGGGTATAAACTATATACAACGGTCATACACCAATGATACAGTTATTCAGTTGGTATAAACCCTCTACAACGTGCATATACCAATGAGAGTTATGTAATGGGTATATAACCCTATACAACGTTCATACACCAATGAGACAGAGTTATTCGATGGGTATAAACCCTATTCAACGTGCATATACCATGACAAAGTTATTCGATGGGTATTAACCCAATAGAGCGTTCATATACCAAGAAGACACAATTATGCAATTGTTATAAACCCTATATAACGTTCATATACCAATGAGACAAAGTTATTCGAGGTGTATAAACCCTATACAACGTTCATACACCAATGAAACAGAGATATTCGAGCTATCAGATAAGCATAGAACCTATATAACGTTCACATATCAATGAAACAGTTTTTCGATAAGTATACTCTATACAACCTTCATGCACCTAAATGAGTCGGAGTTAGTTAAAAGACCCCATACAACGTTTATAAACCTATGAGACGGAGTTATTCGATTGTTCATTGTTGAAAGCCAGATAACCTTTAATTGCTTAAATCCACGATCTCTGTTGGATCAAGGTCATATACACCAAACAATCGTACCACACACTAAATCTGATAGTTGATAACATCTGAGAAACTAAAGTACCTGCAAGTATGAAAATTGATCATTGACCAATGAACCATAAAAATGAGTTCAATATCAGACCATATAATGTACAGCTTGCAATCATTCCATACATCATATACTGTTGACTTACTGCTTACAGTATCTAAGAAACAGACCAAACTGTGAGAATTTAACATTAACCAATGAACCATAAAAATTCGTAAGGGTCTCGCCTACTTTTGCTGTTAATCGCAGGCTCAACAAAAATGAGATGAGGAAAAAATTTAATAAAAATATTCCTCTCGATACAATTTTTTTTATTGTAAGAAGCTTCTGTCCAAGTTTGGTAAAAATCCAGGATAGTTTATGAATCTAATAAATGTTTTAAAAAATTTAACTGCAGACTGTATCTAATGTTAACTGGAAGAAAAACTAAGTCCATTTATAAGTAAAATATGGATAAACAAGTACAAAATTTTAATAAAAATTTCCTTCTAGATACTAGCTTTTGATCATAAACAAACTTCTGTCCATGTTTGGTACAAATCCAGGATAGTTTAAGAAAGTAATTAAAATTTTAAAAACTTTAACCACAGAGTGAATGTAACGTTTCCTGGCAGAAAAACTAAGTCCATTTATAAGTAAAATACGGAAAAACAGGATTTTTTTTTTTAATTTACTTCTGGATACTATCTTATGATCATAAACAAGCTTCTGTCCAAGTTTGGTAGAAATCCAGGATAGTTTAAGAAAGTAATTAAAATTTCAAAAACTTTAACCACAGAGTGAATATTTGTGGACTCCGCCGACGGAATGTAGGATCGCTATGTCTTGCTTTTTCGACAAAAGTCGAAGGCTCGACAAAAATGTGGTACAGTTCATGTAGCTGTCAGATTGACTTGTACACCTTACAATCATTCGATACACCAAAATATAGTGTTTCATCACAGGGGAGACAAAATAAAACAAATGCATTCAATCAGAACTATACAAGAAATATCAAATAAATATCTTCAAGCCTGACGAAAAAGTGTGGAAAACTGTTAACTTGATCTGATAGTCAGACAAACGGCGTGCAAACCTATAGTTCCATTTGACTTCGTCAGTATCTTAGGTACTAATAACTTGCATATAATACTGGGTTCAAACTAGTAATAATGTTTTTTGGCACAAACTTTATTTCATACAATGTCATTTCAGTCATCATGAGTCACAAACATTACAATTTATAAATCAACTAGTTAATGTTCTTATTGCATCTATGCTAATAAGCAATGAAAGTTTGTGAGGGCTATTCCATTAAAATGTATGTGGGTTTTTGTTAAAACAATATTTTTTGCATAATTTGGCAAAATTTATGACTATTCTAAAAAAATTAACAGATTTGCCACCATAATTTGCTGAAATATTCATATATATATATATATATATTTCAATTTAGACTTGTATATATATATATATATATATAGTGTTCTTTACTTTTTAACCAGCATGTCAATGGGTGAGGAGTGGAGCCACATATAAAATCTAGAAAAAGATAAAATAAAGGTGCAACATTTATACAAAAATGGACTAAAACAAAATCTGTCCCATGGAATACATAATAGGCCTATATTATTTATCATTTTTTGCTGATGTCCTAATACAAGTTAATAAATTTTTCTTAATACATCTATATATAAGTTTTTGGTAAAATCCTGTTATAAGAAGACATTTCTAAACTAGAGGCTCTAAAGAGCCTGTGTCGCTCACCTTGGTCTATGTGCATATTAAACAAAGGACACAGATGGATTCATGACAAAATTGTGTTTTGGTGATAGTGATGTGTTTGTAGATCTTACTTTACTGAACATTCTTGCTGCTTACAATTATCTCTATCTATAATGAACTTGGCCCGGTAGTTACAGTGGAAAATATTTTGTAAAAATTTACAAAAATTTACAAAATTTATGAAAATTGCAAAAAAATTTAGTATAAAGGGCAACAACTCCTTAAGGGGTCAATTGACAATTTTGGTCATGTTGACTCATTTGTAGATCTAACTTTGCTGTACATTATTGCTGTTTACAGTTTATCTCTATCTATAATAATATTCAAGATAATAACCAAAAGCTGCAAAATTTTCTTAAAATTACCAATTCAGGGGCAGCAACCCAACAACGTGATGCCTGATTGGTCTGAAAATTTCAGGGCAGATAGATCTTGACCTAATGAACAATTTTATCTTCATCAGATTTGCTCTAAAGCTTTGGTTTCAGAGATATGAGCCAAAAACTGCATTTTACCCTATGTACTATTTTTTAGCCATGTCGGCCATCTTGGTTCGCGGGCGGGGTCATCGGACACATTTTTTAAACTATATACCCTAATGATGATTGTGGACAAGTTTGGTTAAATTTGTCTTAGTAGTTTTAGAGGAGAAGATTTTTGTAAAAGATTACAAAAATTTACGAAAAATGGTTAAAAATTGACTATAAAGGGCAATAACTCCTTAAGGGGTCAACTGACCATTTTGGTCAAGTTGACTTATTTGTAGATCTTACTTTGCTGAACATTATTGCTGTTTACAGTTTATCTCTATCTAAAATAATATTCAAGATAATAACCAAAAACGGCAAAATTTCCTTAAAATTACCAATTCAGGGGCAGCAACCCAACAACGGGTTGGTCGATTCATCTGAAAATTTCAGGGCAGATAGATCTTGACCTGATAAACAATTTTACTATGTCAGATTTGCTCTAAACGCTTTGGTTTCAGAGATATAAGCCAAAATCTACATTTTACCCCTATGTTCTATTTTTAGCCATGGCGGCCATCTTGGTTGGTTGGCCGGGTCACCGGACACATTTTTTAAACTAGATACCCCAATGATGATTGTAGGTTCAGAGAAGATTTTTGTAAAAGTTAACGACGACGGACGCCAAGTGATGAGAAAAGCTCACTTGGCCCTTTGGGCCAGGTGAGCTAAAACTATGATGCACAACAACTGTGAATAATAATAATAATAACCAAAATAAAAAATTATGTAGAGCATAAATTGACAACAACTCTGAAATATTTATGCTAATTTGCACTCAATACTGTTTATGAATCCACGATATGCTGGACACACTAATATGATGACCTAGCAATATGTTGACCACATTAAAATAATGAATGCAAAAAATTTACCACAGAATCAATACTAACATTACCTCAATTTGTGATGGAGTATGCACTGTAGGTGCCTTATTTTGAATTTGAAATTTTTGTGAAATGTACTTCAGACAAATCAAAATAAATAGATTATCATAAATGGCAAAACATTTTGAATCCCACAGAATAAAAACAATTGATTTATTTTTAAAATTAGAAAATTGGTAAAAAAATCATCTAATGTGAATAGATATTTGTAATTAAAGTTTCCTCTAATGAACAAATTTTACCAGGTATATTTGTTTATATGGCAAAGATAACAATGATACCATTAGGCCAACTAAAATTAATTAGTAGATTTTCATGCAGATTTTTGAAAAAAATGGGGCGGGTAGACGGATTTTATTTTTTTAATTTTAAATTTCCTCCTAAACCATTTTGAGACGTGTTGTTCATTTACACAATGTACAAGGGTAATAATAAGCTTACATCATGTTTATATAAGGAATTCTACATTTTTTTAAAATTCTTAAATCAATATTTCCGATTGGCAACCATTGTTCTACATGTAATTGCCGCTTTAGAAACCGATTTTCAGTAAATAGCAAAAACGTGGAAAAATGTTCTCTTTTAGATTACATAGATCATTTTTTGCTTTCTAAGTTGTGATTTATAGTGCCCATAAAATGAAGCATATGCATTGGTATGCAACACAAATATTATGAGTACAGAGTGAAATGAAAACTCAAACTGTGTTGAAAATACTAGGGTTCATGCTTTTAAGATTCTTATGCAAGGTGCAAATATAATTACAATGTAAAACATGAACTGAACCAAAAAGAAAAAGTTGTTTTATAACTCTATTGAAGGGCTGAAACGACAGCCTTGGAGGTAAATCTAAGCCATGGCAGCTATAATACATTTTGTACGTTGGCCGACTCTTTGTACTCAATATACGGTCATAAATCGCACGGTTCGTGCTTCTGTTAATTTCTTTATTCCAGTCATGATTTTGTATCAATGTGTTCCATGATTTTTGCGCTTTGGATATCATTCAGTCTAAATTTCCTTACACAATGTCATTGTATAAATAAAATAATTCACGGTTTTATATTCACTGAAATTTGTGACATACCGCGATTACGGTTCTTGGACACCGCCAATTACTTGTAACCCGAATAATTTATGTCCTTCTAGTAATCAATCTATATTCTCAAAAGATAATGTTGTCATCATTGAGCAGAAGACTATGTCGACTTATATTACTCGAAGAAATACGAAAACCGAAATTTGAAAAAGGAAGTTTAAATGAAACGAAATTATCGGCGGTTACCGGTAACAGAAATGAACAAAATCCGGAAATCGTATATTTTTAAAAATTAAAAAAATCGGGGCGGGACGATTTCAGAGGGTCGGGCGGGATGAAAATCTATCAATTAATTTCAATTGGCCTTATTTGTGCCAAAATTTGGTGGTCATATACAAAAGAAATATTAAAAGCATTTCAAATATGAAATTCTTGTATATCTGTATCTTTCCTCTATCAATTTTCTTCCAAAAATGACCTGAAAATAAAATCATTGTTTCATGGCTATTAATTATAATACTTTTAATAAATGATATGCAAAACCACCTGTTAGTGCTAAAATTGAATTTTTCAATTTGAATTATCAACCTACTTTAATAAAGATTTTTTTCACATCTCCCCTCTGATTATAGAATCCATCTGCAAGAGATAGTTTAATTTGCAAAAACTAATCTATGAAGAGTATAAAAATAATGTTAGCTACAGATAGTAAAATGTATTTTGTTTCGATAATGAAAAATTTGATGTCATATCCAGAATGAGCAGGTAGGCATTTCAATGTGTTGTTTATCATTAACATCTACATCATTAGGTCTCTGGTGGAGAGTTGTCTCATTGGCAAACTTAATACCACATCTGATAACTAGCTGGGTTGGAGTAATATAGATAATTTATCACAGGTTTTTTTGTGTTTATCAACTTGAAATAGATAAAATTTGAGATCTATTTTTTTTTATTCTAAAACATATAAGGGCTGTTCCAGAAAATACTATGTCCCCCAAAAAAACATATAAGGGCTGTTCCAGAAAATATTATGTCCCCCCACGGAAGGTTTTTATTTTAAAATTTTATGTGGGTGGTTGTATTTGAAATATTCAAATACCAAAATGCAAAGGGAGTGTTGTTCTAATTTATTTTTATTTCTGTGGGTGGTGGTGGTAAAAAAAAAATGCTGTCCTTGTTGTAATATGAAAAAATAATTTGTTTTATTTTGTGAAAAAAAATATAGTCTAACGTAAGAAAAGTTTCTTTTACAAGGGATAACAGATATGATATGCAATGCAACTAAAACACACTAGACCACAAGATATATTTACTTTGTTTGATATTTATAAAATTCATGATTTCCCTATCCCTATGAAATCAACAAAGAAACTAATAAAATGCTTCGCTGAGCGCAGCCTGATACTACTGCAGAGGTAGAACCCTGAACAGTTGGGGCAAATTTGGACACAATATTCAAGCTTGATACTGTCTGAATTTGGATTCTGATCAAATTTTTGACATAATATAGGTTTCTGACACGAAACAAATATTGTCAAAGATCTTAAAAATCAATTGCGCAATACTGCACATTTAAAGATTTCTTCTTAAAAGTTTTACAAAAAATTTGAAATTAAAAAAAGTTTGAAAAAAAAATATGAACCCCTTAAAAAATTGGAAAAAAAAATCCCCCCAAATTTTTTGAACCCCCCCCCCTGGTGCAATTACCCCCAAACTCAAACCCAGCCTTCCCTTTGTAGACTGGAACCATGTAGGCAACTTTTAGAGAGATCCATACACTTAAACACAAATTATTGTCTGGAAACTAGAAAAAAAAACTTGTTTTTGGCCCCTTTTTTGCCCCTGAGTCCTGCATGTTTGGGGCAATTAATTACCCCCAAACTCAATCACAGCCTTCCCTTTGTTATATGGAACCTTGTGGTACAATGTCAGAGAAATCCATATGTAAGCCAAAAAATTGTCCCATGAAATTGTGTCTTCTTGAACTATATTTCACAGTTCATCTGTGAAATTTCGTTCACGGGACAGAATATCACATTTGTAAACTATAAAATAGTGTCTCCCTTAGTGAAAAATTGTCCCTAGTACTTGGACATAATTTCATAGATGTTTTATAAAAATATATGTCACATGGGACAATTTTTCATAGTGTAGCTGTTTTTTTCTGTCCCTAAAGATTAGGGACATAATTTAGCAATCATTGAAATGTTTTAATCAATTAGTTAAATCATAATTGAAATTTAAATCAAGACAACACAGATGTGAACAAATATGGAAAGTGGTGAATATAAACAGCTATATGACTTTTTGTTTGGTGGTCAATACCCTCCAGAGTTTAATAATAATGAAAGAAGATCATTTAGAAGGAAGGCCAAGCCCAAGCAATTTGAAATTAAAAACAATGAAATGTTTTATATACATGCCTCCAAGACCCAAACGTATGCGCACCCGTATGAAATTATAAGGCGTATGACGCCTGGAAATAAGGCGTAAACCAGGCGTAAGTGGTAGTTACGTGTCTAGATCCAGGCGTAAGGGAGCAGGAAATGTAAATTTGTAGTCCTTAGGGCGTAGAAAAAAGTGGTAAACCTGGCGTAAATTGAAATAAGCAAGGCGTAAATTTTCTTACGGGCGTAAAACTGTTGGTATGGCGTAAATCATAATACCCATAATGCTTTGTTTAAAGGATCATGGGAATTTTTTTCAAAATTTGGCTCTTTGGTTTTAGTTTGCAAGAGTTGGACTTATGGCAGCTTCATACGTTTAGGGATAATTAGCTTGTTTTGTGCTTTTGGAAGAATTTGAAATTGGAAATATGGAATCAAATTGATAAATAAAAATTGTGAAAAAAATGGAAAGTAAAACATGGTAAATAATAATTATGTGAGTATAATCTAAGTTATTAAGTTTTAAGTTCAAACAGTAATTTTGAAATCCCAAAACCTTGATCCTAGCTTGGATAATAACAATAAAATCTTTTACATGAAGTTAAATTGCAGTATTATCATTATATTTTAAAGGACATTAATTTATAAAAAACTTAGTTAATTAAAATGCTTAAGTTTTATTTCAAGAAAAATTAATTGTCATAATTCTTATTTAAACTTTAAACTTATTTGAGCCAGTGTCTGTCTAAAATGTATTTATTAATATATTAGCTAATCTTCAATGGTTAATATTTCCAGTTTTATGTCAAACAATGAGAAATTAAAGCAACAGTACAGAAGTTTGTATTAAATACACAAAAGTACACAGCTAGGGTAATACACTGATTTGAAATAAATGTAGTATTATGTAAGGATATTACGCCTTGTTTATTTATTGACCAGGCGTACTCATTTGCATATTACGCCTGGTTTTCTCTGGACCAGGCGTACTCATTTAAATATTACGCCTAATTTTACGCCTGGTTTCCGCCTCAGTTACGCTTGGTTTCCGCCTGGTTTACGCCTGGTTGACGCCTGGACATGCATTCCTTAAACACTGCAATGACGCCCGGATAAAGTATGATTTTTACGCCTGGTTTCCGTGTCATATACTGGCGTCACAGTTCGTACAGGCAAGAAGAAACGACAATCGAGTATTTATGAATATTATTCATGATATTATTGATCTTGTTAAATACTGTATATTTAAAAACAAATGTCGATTTAGTCTTATTATTTATTGTAAATTAAATTGTTTGGTATTAGACAAGACTTTTATGCAATTTGGACATGATTTCACTATGAAAAAATATCCAACAAAGGTTAAAATAGAATATCTTTTCAAGGGACACTTTTACACAGAAGTGGGACAATATTTTATAATAAAATTCTGTCCTGGACAAAATTTCACAGGTCATATCCGTGAAATTTTGTCCATGGGACATAATTTCATGGGGGACACTATTTAATCCTACACATACACTTACACACAAGTTATTGTCCAGAAACTAAAAAAATGCTTGTTTTTGGCCCCTAAATCCTAAACTGTTAGTACCATAACCCCAAAAATCAATCCCATTCTTCCTTTTGTGGTATTGAACCTTCTTGTAAAATTTCATAGAGATCAATTGACTTTAACTAAATTTATTGTCCAGAAACCAAATGTGTCATCGGACAACGATGACAACGACAGTATCATAGCATTATACGAACCCAAAATTTTTTTTGCAGTCATATAAAAAAACATGAGGTTGTCAGGTGTAGGGCCATATTTTAGTGATGCACATAAACAAATGCTTAATTCTGTCCCAAACAAAAGAGAAACATTTAATACAGTTTCAGGTTTCATAAATTTTGACACCAGAAACTAGACCATTTTTGATATTTAAGTGCTCACAAGTTAAACCAAGTTAAATTATCTCTACATCTATACAATTGTCATATGTGGAGCAGGATCTGCCTACCCTTCCAGATCACCTGAGAACACTCCCAGTTTTTTGTGGGGTCCGTGTTGCTCAGTCTTTAGTGTTATATGTTTTGTGCACTATTGGTTGTCTGTTGGTCTTTTGAATGTTCATTTGGTATCGTTCTCTTATTATAGCTTTTGATATATTAAGGAAAAAATGCAATATAAAGAGAAAAATAAAAAGAAATAAATGTGGATTTCTTGAATTAAATAAGTCAGTTTCCTGATAAATGGAAAACTCTATGCAAGAACTCAATAGAAGGTAAGCCAAAGGAGAGATTTTTTGTTACACATTGTTAATATTCCTTGGTTCAGTGCTCACAAGTTAAACCAAATTAAAATCTGTATGTGCTTGTCCAAAATCTGGAACCAGGAGCCTGAAATTCAGTGGTAAGTTTCCATATTAATTGTTTTTCATTTTATTTTGTCATAAATCTGGTCGTTATTCTTTTTAATTTGTCATGTTCAGATCTTTAATACTCATTGTTGAAGGCATTATTTATTGTCCCTTATATCCACATCATTTGTGGATAGCTGTCATATTGGTAATCATACCACATCTCCATCTTTTTACATTCAACACTCACTTAATTAAGTTAAAACAACATTTGTAACTAAGGAAAGAGAAAATTAAGATATAAATAAACAGAATAAACTTGGGTAATTTACAAATCTATTATTTTCCTTTGTAATACTGTAAAACATCATATATATTATCATCTTATACACCGACATCAACAATGTCAATATGAAGTGGAAATGAAGTATTAATGCTTGATATTTACTGAAGCAATCCTCTTTACCACAGGAATTTTATACAATGCTGGTAATGTAATTATACTGACCATTTGTTTTCAATTTCCAGTATCAGAAGAACTTCCAGTAGGTTTTTCAATGACCCAGCAAGGATTCACCTGAAAGAAGTAGACATTTTTTAATATAATTTTGACAGATTGGGGAAAAAGCATGTTCCACAGTATAACTGCGAATAATGACAATCTATTCCTGGCATATCAATACAAATAATGACCTTCTACAGTTCACATTTAAAAAAAAATAACTGGTATGCATAGGACGTTACATTTAAATGAATATTTTTTGTGATGTTTATTTTTTAATTTATAATTGTGAAAATTGTGATGGGTATATGGGCAATAATTTGGTATTTGGCCTTTGGTTTCTTTTTGTATCTTTTTTTTTAAGTTCTAAAACTTTAACTTTTATTCTGTGGGTTGTGTTGGTGTGAGACTAGTATTAATGGAACAAGTAGGTTTTTCGAGGAAAAATTAATCAATTTTAGATTCACCGTTTTCGTGACAGGTAACCAAACAGGAAACAAAACTTTATTTTCTTTATTTTGCACAATTTATTTCAAAAGACATAAATGAACACCATTACTAGTGTTACTTGCTTCATGTTAATATTTAAAATCTATTTTCAATGTTAAATTAAGGTTTTTTTTAAACGCGACAGGAAACCATAAGAAACCGAAAGCATTTTTTTAGTGTTATTTTATTGGAAAATCAGCTTAAAATAATCTGAACAGTAAACTTTTTCTTGATAATGTTACTTATAACTTTAGTTTTTAAATTTAGGACTGTTTTTGATAAAATTTTTCCAATAGTCAACAAAAATTATAAGAATATAGAAACAAGGGCACTAAGTCTTTAGGATGTCACTATAATAAATTATTTTGGGCATCGACTTGCATCTACTGATTTTGACTACCAATGTATTTTCTCTTGCTTTTTGTTATAATTCTTGTACACTTTTATATGTAGCACATGTGCCTACTAACCCTTAGAAACCCAATGCAGTGTGCTAGCTAGCTCTGTAACACAATTGCATGATTTACACTTTGTGATTATGCGTCACTAACCAGAAAATTTAAGCACTGTAAAAACTGGGAGAATTAGCTACTGCTACTTATTTTATATAATGTACTTTTCTATAAAGGGCTGTTCCAGAAGTGAATGTATTGGGGTGTTGGGAGGCACTTTCTCAGCTCTCACTTTTGATTCAATTGGAAAGATGCATGACATTTTAAATTTCTAAATTTTATTGAACACAAAACAAAAAGCGTGATCCAACAAACATATTAATGTTGGGAACATCCAATATGTGAGTGATGTCCACAGTATAAGTAGTATCTTGTAACGTCCGCCCTGTCCCTTGCTTTTTGTAAAATTGCATGTTTTATATAGATTTAATAGGCTGTTGGTTTTCCCGTTTGAATGGTTTTACACCTGTAATTTTTGGTGCCCTTTATAGCTTGCTGTTCGGTGTGAGCCAAGGCTCCGTGTTGAAAAATGTACTTTGACCTATATTGGTTTACTTTTATAAATTTTGACTAGGATGGAGAGTTGTCTCATTGGCACTCACACCACATCTTCTTATATCCAATAAAAGTTTGAATTGTTTTACATTTGTGATTTCGGGAACTTTTATAGCTGACTATGTGGTATGGGCTTTGCTCATTGTTGAAGGCCATACAGTGATCTTTAGCTCAGCTGTAAATTTCCGTGTCATTTGGTCTCTTGTGGAGAGTTGTCTAATTGGCAATCATACCACATCTTCTTTTTTATAAAGACAAGATTCCATATACAAAACCATTATTTTGCGGGTGTATAGAAATTCAATGAAATCCTATAATTGTTTACACCCTTTCATTACAACTGCAGGAAAATTACAATTAAGTACCATGGATTACAGAAATATAACCAAAAACCTCATATACCAAAAAGAATAGCCTGGTTTATTTCACTAAATTTCTTTCCAAAATTTGTGACCACGAATATATAAATCTTGATTAATAAAAAATTCTAAACAACACGAACCCCACCAAAAAGGGGGGGTGATCTCAGGTGCTCCGGAAGGGTAAGCAGATCCTGCTCCACATGTGGCACCCGTGACATGTTATTTCATGCAATGTTTTATGGCAAATTTGATATAGGAACATATTTTCAAAGCAAAATGTTACTTTTAAGTTGAAAAGAAAAGTGTTTTGATATATTGGCCATGCAGGCAGTGAACCGGCACTACTTACCTGAAGGGAAATAACACTTTTGAAATGCTATGAAATTGTGACGCATACAACTAAACTGGATACAACATTGGCGGTTTCCATGTATTGATTTACTACTGGCATACATATTTATTTAGATTTGCATCTCTGGTTAAACTCTGTCTTAAATGTAATAGTATTACTATTAAACTCCTAAATATGTGTTTGTTTTAAAAAAATTATAGTGCAATTTATTCGGAGAATTTCCATGTTTTCTTAATTGATACAGGATACCATAATCGTTGTATCTTGATGTTTTAGCCAAAAAAATGTATTTATTGGTTTTGAAATTCCAATTTTATACAATTAATTCCAATGTCAAATTCCTATTAATCCAGTAAAGTAAAAAACTTTTAACTTGGAATTAAAATCTTATAATAGGCATCATGTGATATTTGTGACATGTACACCATGTACATGGTTTCCACATGTTGACCTTCTTTAGTGGGCTAAAATCGATAAAGTACTTCCTTTCAAGTCATGCATGGTAAAACTTCACTTCTCCTTTGACAATATTATTGCATTTTTGAAAAGTGTTTGCTGAATATGATTAAAATAAAAAAATAAAAATTGTGACAAAGATACCAACTCTGTACATTCCAAGTGTAACGGTATATCAACATGTATTTTTTTTTAAATTATCTGTATTTACCTAAAATATCAAGCACAATTTAATGCTAAAGCAAAATCAATTCATCGAGCATCGGCAGAATGATAAGAGACGTAATGTTGATTGAATTTTCCAAGGACCCTTTTCATCGTTATCCGGAAACAAAGTGTGTTGTAACGTCCCTGGAATAAGAAATCAATTTTGTCAAGTCATTGGGCATTTATTTTCACTCAAGATAGTGTGCAACATTATGCACGTAGGAAATATAATAGACCCCCGTCGCGATCTCTTTCAAAATTGTATCTTCCTTTTTTAAACAATATGAAAACAGTCTACAGAATATGCTTGCTACTATCCCGTTGGAAACAAAAACGATGTTTAGACCTAATATTTCCTATACCCGGCCGTAAGCGCTTAATCACATGTTAGCCACATGTTTCACGTATATGACCGGAAATGATTTGGACTGAACGACAAAAACAATTTTAAGAAAAATAAAAGTAAATAACTGGACTTCTGTTTCGTGTGAAATGTAACGCATAATGATAACGTCATTTTCTAACTTAATTATTACGAAGGACAAAACTAGAATGTAAATAATCACTGATTTACCTGTTTGAACATCTCGCGAGAGTTCATATTTGCATATTGTTATGAAGAATTCAAGTACAATAAAGCAGACTACACCATCTAAATTTTGCGTTACGAAATCGGAAACCAAAGTAACGCTACTTTTCTTACACCTGCTACAAAAATAGTTATAGTTCTTGGCAATTTCTTCTGACTATTCTTTTTGAACGATGTTCTTTATTATTTGAAAGCAAAAGGTACGATTTTGCAGGCGACGATTATCTTTAAATTGGGCAGCATTACGCACTTCGGAAGCGAAAATAACGCTAAGAAACGACATACAAAAGTGGCCAAATAATCTTAAATATTTGTTTATTTCAAGTTCTCTCTAGGGGAGATTAGAAAGCACCTATATTTTAATAGAAATAATAGCATTTGATGGTGGAGCAACAACTTCTCTCAACAAAATGCAATATTTTATCACTTTTCTATCCTTATCGGAAACGGACCCCATACCAAATTATTGCCCATATATAGGTTGAGCATAAAATATTGACAAGTTATTTTAATCACAGCTTTTTTATATACGGTCTGTCCATCAAGCCATAACATAAAATGGGAAATCATAGTTATATTCTTAAATGAGATGCAGGTCAAAACAAATTGTGTTTCAGAGAGAGAATATATCAAGTTGTCCAGAAAAACAGAAGATAGTTTGATCAATATGGCAATTGGCATTTGTAGCATATTAGGTTTTGATTGCAGCGCCAGATCATTGGTACTATTTAAAATCTTATAACTACTACTAGGTTGATATATCTGTAAGTGAACTGCAAGTATCACAAGCCACTAGTTGCCAGTACTAAGCTGAAGGGCACGCTAAAACGGTTATTGATTGATTGATTTTTTTATCTAATAAAACTTTAAAATCATTTAAATTAATGAATACATGTACATGTTTTAACTCTTTAAGTATACTAAATACCAATCAATATTACCCTTAATTTAAACTTTTGTGAAATATATAGAATATATATCTACAAAGCAAAATGTAAATTAGTTTGAGATAACTATGTATTCACTATTTCTGGTAACACTATCAAACTTTCAAGCAACATTTAGATATAGTCGCTGTCCCCATCAACAGATCAACCTAGCTAGCAGCAGACTAATTCTCGAAAACAACATGTTTACACAGAGAAATTAACAGAAATCGATTTTACTTATTTCTACATCAGCCATATTGGGATAGTGGTAACTGCAGTTACTATGATCAGTTTAACACCAGTGATCTTTCTTTTTTTTTCAATCAAAATCAGCAGCTATTATCATTGAAATATTCTGCAGTTACAATTATCTTTCAAGTGATTTGTCCACAAGTTGCCATTATCTTTTTATTTAAGTTACGGTTATCTTCCTAAAATATTTGATGGATATTATTTCGGTAACGAGGCCATACATGATATTTATAACACACATACACAACAAAACAGTACAGATCAAACTGGCGGCTGAGTAGTTCTTGAAAACAACACATTTAAACGGAAAATTAACAGAAATCGATTTTACTTATTTCTACCTCCGCCATATTGGGATCATGGTAACTGCAGAATATAAAGTTCATCATTAGTAAGATGAAATCATCTCTTTAGTCTTAAAAGTTTTGTTCTCTACCGACCCTCATTGTCTATTTCTAGATGTCAGTTAAGATATGAGGCAGATTTACCTGTATCTGTTGTATCCTTTATTTCAAGTTCAATGGGATACATGCGTTCAACAAAGTCACCATACTTTGAATTATTCAATAAAAGGAAATCATCTTTATAGCAAGTTAAGGAGATCGATCGAATGCAATCTTCTTTTCAATTCCTCCTTAGAAGCTCCTGTACATACATGAAGTCTGCCTCAAAAGAAAAAAAGAACAAATATGAGTACAAATGTATATGTTGATCATATGCTAAATTGTTTTTCTAGCCAAGAAATTTAGAAACGATCCAGGTAAACTTATAGATCCTTTAAATAAACTGATTCGAAAAGGTTACCAAAGTCAACAATGTATTATTAGATCTTTGAATATTGCTTTTATTGGTATTAATATTGATTATGCTATCAGTAAATTAAAATCAAACTAAATATCATAGTTATATACATTATGCACATTCATGGGTCTACAATCTGTCAATACCTGTATCTTGGCATTGCACAAGGTCATGTTTTTCTCGGACTGTTTATGATGCCTTTTCACTAAATCCATTGGATGTTGCATGTGTATTAATTGATAATTTAATTAGTCTTAGATGTATGATTTTTTTTATTAGTTCTTGTTGGCTTTGAACTACATGAACTAGCTGTCAGTAACTGCGAGTACTCTCAGATCTATACTTAGTGTATGTCATAAGCCTGTCCAAGTCAGGATCCTGTTATTGACAGTGGTTAATTAATTGTCACTTGTTGCTGTGTAACATACAGTGTTCTCCTTTTTTCACTAAGGTAAGGTGGGTGTTTTAAAAAAACCACTTGCAACCGGGTGTTTTTTTTTTTTAAAAACATTTCCAACCAGGTTTTTTTACTGTTGGTGGGGGTCACAAAAAGAAGGATTAGTATTGTATTCACATTTAATTTGACGATCGGCCATTATTGTCTATGAAAACAAATCAGCGAGGCGCGATTAGTATTTAAATTTTTACGGTGCTGAACTGAAAAAAAATCCAGAATTTGAAAAAAAAGCCGACCACCTCCTAAAATGGAAAGGTGGTCTGCACAAAACTCTGACATATTTGTTTTTCGCTCATTAATTACTTTAGGCCGTTAGTTTTCTAGTTGTTGTTGTTGGGATGTACAAGTACTCATCCATGTCCAATTTGTGTTTTTGTTACATGTATTAATTTCTATTCGTATATCCATGAGATGAGTTAAGCCTTTTTCAACTGATTTTTATAGTTTGTTGTTATGATGTACTGTTACACCACTGTTCCTGGTTAGGGGAAGGGTTGGCGTCTTCAAACTAGTTTAACCCTGCACATTTGTATGTGCCTGTCCCATGTCAGGAACGTGTAATTCAGTAATTGTTGTTTGTTGCTGAGTAATACATATTATTTTTTACATAAATTAGGCCATTAGTTTTCTCGTTTGAATTGTTTTACATTTTTTATTTTGGGGCTTTTTATAGGTGACTATGTCATGTATGTGGTGTTGGTTTTGCTCTTTGTTGAAGGGGTATGCTGACCTATAGTTGTTAATTTCTGTGTCATTTGAAGACCGACAATATTTTCTTTAAAGATTTGCTTATCGTTATTTCAAATTATTTGAATAATTTCTGTGCAATGTGGTTTACCCTAAAAACATCTTCTCATATGTGAACTGTTGGTGTCCAATTGTTATTCTTTGTCATATTGTCTGGGAATTGGTCATACCGTATCACTGCTGGATAAGATAGTATCTTGCTCTTTACTTCATCAAAAACTTTAAGGGCATCTGTACCTGAAAATAAGGATTTATTCATGTATGTGAATAATTAGCTAACTTAGAATAGTTTAGAGGGATTTTTCCCCACAAAAAAAAATGACATCATTACAATATTATCTTTGAAAAAAGCAATACTACTGGAATTTATTCAAGAACTAATTATATGAAACATTTATTGACATTCAATTGGCTCCATCTTATGGAGTAACGTTTATACATATCTGAACTTGTTCGATTCGCTCGTGTATGTATTATAAACAACATATTTGATTTTAATGGAAGAAATCTCTGTATTACTGAAAATTATTACATCAAAGTTTTTTATATCACAAACTAGTCAAAACATTTACAAAATATTATAATCGGTACAAGGACATCATTCATACATGTAAATAAAAATCAACATGTAGACATATTATACATTCAGGTATTTCACTTTGATGTGCAATTAAAATTCACATCAAATATTTTATGGTAATATTCTATACAAAGCACAACAATATGTTAGCACAACAATATGTTGTCAGTCACCTCAGTAAACCTCATGCAGTTTATAAAAGTTTAATCTGACTTATTAAGAAGGGATATATAGTAACGATACTGTTTTTGGGTAATTAAAGATGGCATATTTTGGAATTAATATTGATTCATTCATAGGGTCGTTAAATCAGATGTAAACACATTTATTCTAAAACTAGTTATTGGCAAGATACAGGATTTTCTCGCTGCATTGAAGACCCATTGGTGGCCTTCGGCTGTTGTCTGCTCTTTGGTCGGGTTGTTGTCTCTTTGACATATTCCCCATTTCCATTCTCAATTTTATGTTCTTCTCATATATTTAACGATGGTATGATACTACACCCTAAACAGGAGGGATTGTGCTTGATTTTCATATGATGATTGAAGACATAATCTGTCAATCAGTTTAGTTCAAGTCTCACTCACTGGAACTGGCAAAAAATTGTCAGTAACTGATAGTAGAACTTTGTAAATTTATGTTTCTTCATTGACAATGTACCTATTCTGACATGTGACTAGGACTTGTGCATAGTGCTGTGTGTTTGTTTATTCTACATTGGCTAGAGATGAAGACCTATTTGTAGCCTTTGGATTATTTCTGCTCTTTGGTGGGGTTGTTGTCTCTTTGACACATTCCCTATTTCAATTCTCAAATTAAATGATTCTCAATTTTAGAATGTGTGTTCTTTTGAATTTAAATTTAATGTATGCTGCAAAAGAGGGACGAAAGATACCAGAGGGACAGTCAAACTCATAGATCGAAAACAAACTGACAACGCCATGGCCAAAAATAAAAAGACAAACAGACAAATAATAGTACAGATGACACAACATAGAAAACTAAAGACTAAGCAACACGAACTCCACCAAAAACTGGGGGTGATCTCAGGTGCTCCGGAAGGGTAAGCAGATCCTGCTCCACACGTGGCACCCATCGTGTTGCTTATGTTATTACAAATCCGGTAAATAGTCTAATTCGGTAAGTCACATTCGTGAAAAGGGAAGGGTATTGTAGTTACGACATACATTTGTAAGGAATATGCAACTGAGTCTCCAATAAGAGTAGTATAAATTTTCAATGTTCATAAGAAAGCCAGAAAACGTTAATACAAGTACAAAATCAGGTGATGTTGAATACGCTAAAATAAAAGTTTTACATATTCAATAACTGCTAATATCTGTATCTTGGTTGCTGTACGTTTCAAGTTTTCTTTCCTTGTTGAGAATTGCCAAAAACTGCAGTCTATGCACTGAGCTTCAACAAAGAAAATATAAACAAACCATTAGCAATCAATCTTTTCACACAATATGTAATTATTATATTACCTATACTATTATTATTATATGGCAACTTTTTGAATTTTTTCCCCATATTTTCAAATTGTATTTATAACCACACACAAAACACTCAAGCAACACACAAAATAAACCAAGGGGTGGTTAAAAGTAAAACCTACAGTTGTAACAGTGGTTTGATTCCGCCAGTGTACTTTATCTGTAGGATGAAAATCCCTAGTGTTTATTATCCAGCAACAAAAATTCACTAGGGTTTTTTATCCGGGTCCAGTGTAAAATATCCACCACTCTTGATAAGATTCTATAGAGAGTTTTTTGAAGGGGAAATGTATAAAAATGGGGCTTGGTATTTTTGGGGGGTATTTGAATTAACTATTTAACTTGCATAGCTTATTTATGTAAAAAATGGACAAAGTAAACTTAAGTGAACTTTTTCATCCATGGAATGTTCACATAAATGTTTTGAACTAAGAATGATTACACTAGTGATTTTGAACCAGGAATTATTTATTTATACACTATAGTGATTTTGAACCTGGAATGAAACTGGGAGTTATTACACTAGTACATTGTCTTTAAGATTATTCATATATATACAGTGATGAACTATTTTAGCACTCACTTTGAACACATGATATATGTAACACGTACAATATAATGATTTATTTACAAATTAAATTTTGATAATTTTTCTAATGAAAACCATCAATTAAATCATATATATGCTTATAAGTTGTCACTAATTGTATTATTCATATATACTGGATTGCCAAAGTTTTTCTGTGCATTTGCGTTTTGGTAGACTTCGATATAAAATCATATCTTCAATGTCAATATCTATTTATAATGAAACTCACTGGTTCCTTGAAAACTATTCTAATTTTAACCTATTAATTTATATAAACAATAAACTGGTCTAATATAAACATAAGAGTGCACATGCTGAAATGTCTCGCCTTCTTTACTAATCATTGATATTATGTTGATAGTCCTAAATATAAAGCTTTAATTTAATAGAACTATCACATAAACTTAACATGATCCAAGAAAATGAGGTCACTGTCATATAAACCAAACAAGAAATACATGTACACCTTACGATCATCATGATCATTCAATACACAAAATATACATGATATAGCTGACCTAGCTATTGATTATAGTTTCTAAGAAAGACTTAACCAAGAAAACTAAACACTGACCAATGAAAATGAGGTCAAGGTAAGATGAACCATGCCAGGCAGACATGTACAGCTTACAATTCTTCAATACTGTAACAACAAATATACTTGACCTATTGCTTATGGTTTAAGATAAACTGTTATCACAGAGATATGTCTCGCTTTTTGGTTATTTCGATAATGCAAATGTTGAAATTAAAATACATGTAGCAACACTTTTACATGTAAGTTTTGCAAATATTCAAAGTCAATGAATCATGACTGAAGGTTACATGGCCAATGCTAATACAACTGCATACCAAATACTATTGACTTATCATAAGTAGTTCCCTTTAAACAAACCTAAACACAAACTAATACATGTAAACTAAGCAAAATTTCAAATTCAATAAACCATAACTGAGGGGGCGGGGTCAAATAATCTCCATTGTAATGAGATGTAACAATGTTAATACAACTGCATACCAAATATCATTGACCTACTACTAGTGGTTCCCCATAAACCGACCTAATCACAAACTAATACATGAAAACTAAGCAAAAGTTTCAAAGTCAATAGACCATGACTGAGGGGGCGGGACCAAATAATCTCCATGGAAATGAGATATGCCAATGCTTATACAACTGCATACCAATTATCATTAACTTACCACTCGTGGTTCTACCTTAACTGAGCTAATCACAAACTAATACATGAAAACTAAGCAAAAATTTCAAAGTCAATAGACCATAACTGAGGGCGCGGGGCCAAATAATCTCCATGGTAATGAGTGGTGCCAATACTAATACAACTGCATACCAAATATCTTTAACTTACCACTAGCGGTTCACCATAAACTAGACCTAATCACAAACTTATACATTGTTGACGCCACAGACACCGGAAACAGCATACCTATGTCTCGCTTTTTGACTCCGCCAAGCAAGACAAAAAACAGACCAAAACACAAAAACTTAACACTGAGCAATGAACCGTGAAAATGAGGTCAAGGTCAAATAAAACCTACAAGACTGACATGTACATCATAAAATATTTCCATACACCAATTTGAAATATAGTAGACCTATAGTATTGCATACAGTATAAGAGAAATAGACCAAAACACAAAATCTTAACTATAACCACTGAACTATGAAAATGAGGTCATGGTCAGATGTCACCTACCAGTTGGACATATATGCATGTACACCTTACAGTCCTTCCATACACCGAATATACTAGACCGATTGCTAATAGTATCTGAGATATGGACTTGACCACCAAAACTTAACCTTGTTCACTGATCCATGAAATGAGGTCGAGGTAAAGTGAAAACTGTCTGACGGGCATAAGGACCTTGCAAGCTACCCACATACCTTACCATATATAGTTATCCTATTACTCATATAAATGAGAGAGATATTAATCAACATTACAAAAAATCTTAATTTTTTTTTCAAGTAGTCACTGAACAATGAAAATGAGGTCAAGGACAATGGACATGTGACAGACAGAAACTTCGTAACATGAGGCATCTTTATACAAAGTATGAAGCATACAGGTCTTCCACCTTCTAAAATATAAAGCTTTTCAGAAGTTAGCTAACACCGCTGCTGCCGGATCACTATCCCTATGTCGAGCTTTCTGTGACAAAAGAGGGACGAAAGATACATGTACCAGAGGGACAGTCAAACTCATAGATCGAAAACAAACTGACAACGCCATGGCCAAAAATAAAAAGACAAACAGACAAATAATAGTACAGATGACACAACATAGAAAACCAAAGACTAAGAAGCAACACGAACCCCACCAAAAACTGGGGGTGATCTCAGGTGCTCCAGAAGGGTAAGCAGATCCTGCTCATAGTCGCAGACTCAACAAAAACAATGATATCAAGATAAACGCTTTCACGCTATTTACATCCAATATTCTCTAGTGAAAAACAGTCACCAGGAATAAAAACAGGGTGGAATGAAATTACGCTTACACAGCCAGGGTAAGTGATGTTGATATTGCCGGTATGTCATTAGGTCTCACCTTGTTGATACTTAAACATGTGCTTGTGGATTACTCATTTAGCTGAGTTGGTAGAGCAGAGACTTTCTGTGCAAAGGGTCACAGGTTAAAATTCCGATTGGTACAGTAATTTATTTTGGAAAGCAAATAATGATCTCTGGGTTATGTGTAAACGTATTTTGGTGTTTAGCTGAATTTTGTCTCCTTAAGCCCGAGATCAAATCGGCACTTGGTCAAATTGGCACCGGATGTAGTCATTTCGCCACCCATGTTCAATATTTTCAGTATTTGAAGCAAATAGATTAAAATAAACAAGGGGTTGTCTACAAATATTGACTTATTTTCATTTTTGGGGGGTTTCTGTGTATGTATTTTTTCCATTCAACTTGATGTGTATTCACGGTATTAGATATTTTTATGCATGTTTTAACCATAGGAGAATTTTCCATTATTGGAAAACTATATCCATTTGTTTGTTTAATGGTGTTTAAACTTTCCTGAAAAAAAACCACCTTACCTGATTGTTATCTTACATTCAAGGTTGATTAGTGATAGTAATGAAAGGGACTCATAATTTCCCCTTTTCCTGCTTATAATTTTCTCATGATCAAACAACAACAGATTGTGTAATGGCTTCATGTTTTTTACTAAGTTTTTAAAGTAAAAAAACATCAATAACAACCTGTTTAGATTTAAAACAACAAACATGTTAATTATGTAATAATAACTGTAATTGATAAAAGTTATTAATATCAATTGAAAAGATAACTAATCAAAACGTCAGTCACAGATTGTTGAGAAAACTTATAATATGTATTCTAACTGCTTGGTGAATTTTAACTATACATGCTATATGTAGGTGTAATGAGTAATATAAATTAAAAAGATAAAGCCAAACCCCAACAATAATTTAAAGATAGAAAGATCATTTATACCAAGGATTTGTAAAGAAATCCTTGTTTTTACATTTTTAGAATTATTTATCTGTTTATATTGTATCAAATAATGGATTATTATTGGATTTGACTAGATGCCGATTTAACCAGGTGCCGATTTGACTTTTTCTATGGGTGCCGATTTGAATTGTACCCTCCCTCGGATATGTATCATTCTGTTAGGGGACGACCATTTGATATTCTGGGGGGGGGGCCAGGAGGATTTTGAAAATAAATAACTCAGCCTTGATAATCACAAAAATAAATGGTTTGTTCTGTGGTAGTTTGAAAATAAATTACCTGACTTGTAATGTATTGAAAATAAATAACTCAGCAGGTCTAATCGAAAGTATGAGATGGCACCAGATTCTTCATAAATTCCTCCTTTTATCAAAAAAAAATCGGGAAACACTTCCCATTTCTTTTAATAATAAAAGTATAAATATTATTTAAATATACTTGAAATGTCAGAAAATTGGTTTTATTTAACTTGAGGTTAATTGTCTCAGGAACACCTACCTCACTTTTATTAAATCAGGGCCGTAACTACATTGAGACAAATGCCTCATGTAGGAAATTTCAAAACCAAACGCTTGTCTCAATATCAAATTGTGTTCACCGTGAGTGCCTTGCAAGAAGCAAGTTCTGTTCTCCCTCAGACGTTGCCCCTGATTTTTCGGGATCAATGTTTCTTATTTATTTGTCTTTTGTTCATTGATTGCAATTCTGTATTCTGTTAGTGTTGCATTCATTTTGTAATTTAGTAATTTTATTATTAACTTGATCATGAGTTTAAAAAAACACAGCAGCCACAGACTTAACTATGTGAATTACATTTTTGCTTTATCATGCATATTTGTCTTTTGATGATGTTCCTAGAAAGTTAAGTCTTACACTGAATCTATAACGTGATTTTGCTTTGAGATCAAAATATTGTCATAAAATTATTAAAACAGAACTTGCATTTTCAGTTTAAGAAAGGGTCTGGGGAACACCTAGAAGGCATGATTTTGCATCATTTGTTCTATAGCTTCTTGGGCCTTCAGCGGTTCAAAAACCCTTAAAAAAAATTTTGCCTCGCTCCGCTCGGCGAAACATGTTTGC